TGAAATCTGATTAACAACCAACGTCTTCTCTTCCTATGTGTCGTCTCCTTCCAGGAGATCGGCAACCATTTTGATGAGAAACGTTTAAACCATTCTAATTTTTAAAAAAATGTTAGCGTTATTCGAGATTTATGAGAGAATGAATCAAAGACAAAAAAAAAAAAAAAAAAGGTAAAATATGGAAAAATTAAATTAAAATTTTAGCATTCTGCTGTATTTTCAAATCCACTTCATCCTTTTACAAGATACATCATCTGCGCGGGCTTTTTCGCCGATTTCAGTTAAGGTCATTTTTACTGTTGCCCTAGTAGGACATGACAACACAACAGCAATATTTATACACAGTATCATTCAAAGTTCTGTGTCACTTGCTTTGACAGGATACACTTTTTGCTTGACAAAGGAAATCAACAAAGAAAGTTAATTTGATTAAAATTTGTGTTGTAGGGCCCCCAAATCTACTCGATATTGAAAGTTCGGGGAAAAGAGTGTCAAGTTAAACTTGTCAGTCACTTAACAGTTCAGTTGATTATTTTAAAGACATTCCTAGCACAAAAAGACAATTTAAAAAGAGACGTAAAAGAAAAAGCAACAATCCACAAATAAGGGATAAAATGTGTACGAGTTTTGATTAATTCAAATGATTCAAAATTGACTTAGGACAAAGATACACCAATTCTGAAATCTTGAAACTTACTATTTTTAGATTAGATATAGTACATGTCATTTGGAAAGGGTTCAAAAATACGAAATGACTCTTTGTAAGTCCATTATGATCCGACTGTTATGTTTATCCTATCCTTCTTGTTGGTAGAGATCAATGTTCTGGCGAAAGCCTCTGAAAAATCATGGCCTTTAAAATAAACAGGAATGGTTCAGTTGCCTCTGTTTGGTTTGTTTTACGGCAAAAAAAATATTTTGTAGGATATTTAATGCAAAATACTGTTGTTTTAATAAACAATATATTGGTAAACATAGTTGTAATGTAAATAAATTTCAGATAGGTCCGGTTTGCATCTGAGTTAATAAAACTAAGACAAGTTCAGTTTGCACCTGAATTAATAAAGCTATCACAGGCCCGGTTTGCACTAGATTCAGAAACAAAAGAAATAGGTCCAGTTTGCACCTGGGTCAATAAAGCTAACAGAGTTCCGGTTTGAACTTGAGTTGATAAAGCTAAGACAGGTCCAGTTTGCACTTTACTCAAAAGTTTAGACATAGGTTCGGTTTGCACCTGAGTTAATAAATCTAAGAAGAATCCGGTTTGAACTAGAGTCAAAAGCAAAGCCTTATGTACTGTTTGCACTTGAGTTAATAAAGCTAAGACAGGTCCGGTTTGAATTAGAGTCTATAGTTAAGACAGGTTAGGTTTGCACCTGTGTTAATAAAGTTAAGAAAGGTCCGGTTTACACCGAAAAGCTAAGACATAGGTCCAGTTTGCCACTGGGTTAATTAAGCTAAGACAGGTCCCGTTTGCACATGAAAATAAAGCTAAGACAGGTCCGCTTAGGCACTAGAGCCAAATGCTAAGACATAGGTCCGGTATGCTACAGAGGCCCGCTTTGCACTATAGTCAAAAGCTTAGACATAGGCCCTGTTTGCACCTGAGTTAATAATGCTAAGACAGATGTTATTTGTACTAGAGTCAAAATCTAAGACACAGGTCCCGTTTGGACCTGAAGTAATAAAGCTAAGACATAAGCCCGGTTAGCATATGAGTTAATAAATCTAAGAAATGTCGAGTTTGCAATAGAGCCAAAAGCTAATACATAGTTTTGCTTAGCACATGATTTAATAAAGCTAAAACAGTACCGGTTTGCCCCTGAGTTAATAAAGCTTAGACAGATACAGTTTGCACGAATGACAAAAGCTAAGACATAGGTCCAGTTTGCACCAGAATTAATAAAGTGAAGACATAGTTCCTGTTTGCACCTACGTTAATCAATCCAAGACCGTTCCGGTTTGCACCTGTGTTAATAAAGCCAAGGCATAGGTTCGGTTTGCGTTTGTATTAATAAAGTTAAGACAGGTCCGGTTTGCACTAGGGTCAAAAGTAAAGACATAGGTCCAGTTTGCACCAGAACAATAAAACTAAAATCTAGCTACTTTTTTGGCGTACATTTTAACCACCTGCAAGTAATATTCGTGTAACTAATTAACTCCCAGCTCTCAGTTGATTCTGCCATCCTGTCTTTAATAAACCTTGTTATCGATTTCTTTGTCCCACCCCCATTATTCGGAATGACTATCATTCGTGTGTGTTTTTATAGATTCCCCCCGTGCTGTACGGATGCCTTCGTCAACTAATCTGTGTATATTATTAAATCACTATAAGTGTAATGGCTGGTTCAGGGTCAGAATGTGTTGTGGATTCCGGGTTGAAATACTGTACCAATAAATAACAAACGCCAGGAATGAATATATGAAAATATTGTATTAACGTAATAATACAAACTGGTAAAGCAGGTTAGTAGTTCCAGGAATACGGGTTAGTAGCAAAATATATATACAGTCTTTGGTATTGAAGTATCGCTGTATGACTTCTTACTGAGTCTACGTGCTCGCTCACTGTGACTCCTACAACGCTGTTACCTCACCCCTCACTCTTCCGGTTACCTACAACCTTTTACTCTGGGATCGACTCGACGGTCTTGCTCCCTCGGGTCTTCATGTAGCCGTAGTATATGTATATACTGGGTGAGTCCATTTGTATAAAAAGGGATGGACCCCTCAACAGAATGCAAGCAACTAAATGACACGGTGTTGTTCAGCTGCTAGGGTCAGCTGAAAAGCTCACACGCTGACCAAGATAGTCTCATGGAATGCAACCAAACGAGATTTATTTTTCAACAGTCCTCTTTGCGGTCCATACATTTCTTCCATCAATGTTGATGTACTTGGATCCTATTAGTGAAGATGCTTTCACCCTGTTGGTCAAAAAAGTCAATAGCAGCAGATATGACGTCATCATCACTGAGTATTGGAACATTTTTCTGGTGAAACAAGACCACTTTCGTCAGTTTTCCTGGGTGTTTGGTCTTAATAGCCTTTCGCAACTCCCTCAGCAATATCTGTCTATATTTCTGAGATGAGGTATTGTAATCATTTACATTATTTACATTGTTCGGTTTCTTGACCTCATCTTTATTGCCATATTCACAACGTTTCGATCATTGTACGCTCCGGCCTTCTTCAGGATCTGTCTATATTTCTGAGATGAGGTATTGTAATGATTTACATTATTTATATTGTTCGGTTTCTTGACCCCATCTTTATTGCCATATTCACAACGTTTCGATCATTGTACGCTCCGGCCTTCTTCAGAATCTGTCTATATTTCTGAGATGAGGTATTGTAATTATTTACACTATTTATATTGTTCGGACTGTTGTCCTCAGCTTTATTGCCATATTCACTCCTTCAATATCTGTCTATATTTCTGAGATGAGGTATTGTAATTATTTACACTATTTATATTGTTCGGACTGTTGTCCTCAACTTTATTGCCATATTCACTCCTTCAATATCTGTTTATATTTCTGAGATGAGGTATTGTAATTATTTACACTATTTATATTATTCGGACTGTTGTCCTCATCTTTATTGCCATATTCACTCCTTCAATATCTGTTTATATTTCTGAGATGAGGTATTGTAATTATTTACACTATTTATATGGTTCGGACTGTTGAATGAATACAATATGTGAACCAGTAATACGGAGTGCTACAGAAAATAATAACAACAAAAATTGCAATATGAGCTCTGGTAAAAAGTAGTTACTGAGACATAGAGTTTATAAGTCCCCAAAATACATACACTGATGTCCTCAAACGACACATTTAAATTAAGTAGATAAAAGCATTGGTTGAATCCAGTTGTTAACCCAAATTGTTTTGAGTTCAATACCTGACTACTACAAATAACTTGAACCAAAACTTAAAGTGTTGAGTTAAAGGGAGATAACTAAGACATCCAGAAAAGGCGTGGCACATGGAACTAGAACAATCTACCTAAAAATATGGGCGAAATAAAGGGTTCAGTTCTAAATTCCAATCACCTGAAGAAGGCCGGAATCAACACACAACGGCTGAAACGTCCTGAGTATGACAATAAAGAACAATGTAAATAAAGCATTGGCATAATACTCTCCATTGATGGTATTCCGTCCTTTTGAAGATCCCATCTGTTAGCAACTGAACATCTTGGCATGTTTATATACGGGATCTCTCTTCAACTTGTCCAGATCCGTGTCTTTGTCAATAAAAGCGATGGAAAAATCAGTAGCCAGCTGTTGATGAGACTCAATCTATCCTTTTTTTTTGTTGTTCCCTTATGGGCATTTTGTTCCTAATGTTGCCGTGCTGGGGTTTTTTGAGGCAGTTTTATTCTGCTTCCTCTTGCCTCTTTCCCTTCTCTGCCTGTTACTCCGTAGTTCTTGGGATAGCAATAGGTTAGGTGTTTCCCTCAACTTTGATACACCCTTGTTGTAAAGACAAATCGCTTTATTTCTGATCTCTGCATCTTATTAATTACTATAAATAAGATAAGAAAGATAGAAATTGTATTTAAAGATGAAATTGCTGGTCATAAATTAAGAATGATTAATTTAAAAGCTTTCAAATAGCAAAAATTTACAGAGTCCGCTACCCTTGTTCCTGTCATATCAATTTCCTGAGTTTGGCATTAGAATTATTTTTTCCTTAGGGAAGAAAAATTAAAATAAAAAAAGACAGCACAAAGACTAATATCAAAGAACATTTTATAAAGTTGAATAAAGGCAATACCAGGTGATCTTGCTAGTCTTTTAATGTGTAATCATTTATTGAAAAAAAAGAAGTAACTAGATTCTTGTAAAAAATTCTATGATTTTTAAAATCATATTTTGATGAAAATTGGACACTTCGACATCGTGTAATAGCAAGTGTTACGACTGAGTTATAAGTTCGATCCTCATTGGGTGTTCTAGACGTTCGGCCTTTTTGCTATACATAAGTTACGCTTTTCTTAATTTCTATTTTATGAAAAAGCAGCATCCATTGCTTTTGAGGTGGTTTGAGAGAGAGAGAGAAAGAGAGAGAGAGAGAAGAAAAACGGTGATGAATAAGAAGGAGACAAAGAGAGGAAGAAAAAAGAGTAAGACAGGCTTCTTGAGGGCCCACTGTGCATAAAAAAATAAGTTCCTTAATGTTTTTATTATTTCTGTCTGTGATTTTTTTGGTTGCAAAAATAAGAGATGGAGAAAAACTCCACTGGCTTCTGCTCGGATGACATTGAGCTGATTGATTTGATTTTTAAGGCTTATCAACCCTTTGCTTATTTATCCTTTTACGGATTATCATCCCTTACAGTCAAAATATTCTCTGTCTTTAAATAACCATTTAAAAACAGAAAATATTTTTTGATTGTAAGAAATTTTAGGGAAGATAATAATGGTTTAAGTCTTGCTAATTAACCCATAGCTGGAGAGAGAAGAGGTGGATTCATACCTTTCCCAATGGTATTTGCGCGTAAGTGAATATAACGAACCCAGCGGGGATTGGAAGTCGACTTTCCCATTAATAATTCTGAAACACCATACATTACATCACACGCATATCCAACACCTGGTATCCCCAAGTGGTCACCCATCTAGTTACTAACCACGCTCGACGTTGCTTAACTCTTGCGATCGTACGGGACCCAGTGTTTCAATATGATGTGGATGTAAGCCTCCACACAGAAAAGAAACTGAAATAACTGATATACAATATAGTAAAAGAAAGCAAGAAGAAAGGACTAGCTATAATCTGTGAGAATGTACAATACGTGGATGTCAGCAATAGTGAAAGACAGTCCAAGGGGTGAAGTATGTACTGGCGACATTAAAATCAATCTGGTACATAGTGGTAGTGAATTTACAGACGATGGAAAATGTGACAGAAAGCCATATACGAATAGGGAAATATGTCTTCCTGAAACGAAGCAAACTATTAAGAGACAAGAAAAAAACGTTAGAAACAAAGAAACAAGTGCCAAACGGCTCTATAATATCTTTCTCGCTGGAAAATTTCATCACAGATGAATGATTGAACTCTGAATGAGGCTACGTGCTTTAAGCGTCTACTGGAACTGGCGCTCACCCCAGACCTCAAGTGGGACTAATATATTTATCAATTCACCCCAAGCAAAGCGATAATGCTACTAAGACGCAAAGTGCTAATGGGTGTGTAATAGAATATGAAGACTTTAGATGGAACTGGAAACCCAATCCTGAACAAGGAAACAAGGTATAATCCTCTATTCCTGTTCAAAAGACGGTAGGATTGTGAACCGGGCGATTTATATCGCTAAAGACGCTGGAGAAATGGTTGGTTCCTATACCGCTCCAGAAAGTGCCTGACTCCTTCCGTGCCTTATCTTTACAAGAGTCACATCAGACAAAAGAATTCATTGCAGTCATGCATGTCTTTGAGCTGCTCAGTCCTCTCTTTTCAGCCCCGAAAGAGTTCAAATGCACTTACCCTGCCTTGTAGCTTAGTAATCATTTTTCAACCTACAGACCAGACGAAGCGTTGGAAGTCTCTGGCAGGTCTATCGCTATTTCTATGGAAAATGTTCTAACGATTTAATTGCCTTAGTTCCACCAGTTCCGACCTTCACATCTAGGACCTACTATGCCACGTACACAGGGGAGAACCATGCTCATTTCCCCATACTCGTATTCGATTGGTAAGAAGGATGTTCCACTTAAACAGATTCATCCCATGAACCTCTACGTTGTAAAACAGATATAAGATGTTTCCCTGACCACTACAATTTTAACCTTTTCAAGTCTTCGGTATTCTCAGCATCCTCCAGTAGAACATTTTCCTTAATCCCCTGCTTCCACTGTCATAATAGGAGTTTAGATTATTTAACAGTTCAACACTTTTTTTTTAATAATGAAAATTTCCAATTTCTGTTTAGTTTCTGAGAGGGGGGCGCATCTTGCCCGATTCCAATGCGACTTTAGATTTCTATACCAAATTCCTCGTTAAAATGTCTGTTAAACACTATCCAGGTAGTTAAATTTCTGTACTTCCGAGACTTTTAAGGTTCCTAATATGCAGAAGAGACTTGAATCAACAGAAATGTGGTTCTACAGAAGGATGCTGAGGATACCATGGGTCGAACAAGTGAGCAACAACGTAGTTTTGGAGAGAATGGAAACAAAAAGGAAACGTATACTTAACATCAGGAAAATGTTGAAATTTCTGGGGCACGTAATGAGGAAGGAGGGCTTGGAAAATATGATACTCACAGGAGAGATTGATGGAAAGAGTGACAGAGGAAAGCAGCGCCTAACATTCTTGAGCAAATGGATGGCCGAACAGGGTTTGGGAGAAATAACAAAGACAAAACTTATTGAGAACTAAAAGGGATTGGAAGATGTGGAGGGCCATGATCGTCTATGTCTTGAAGTGACACTGTACATAAAAGAAGAAGATACTGAAAACGAGGAAGAAGCAGTTGAAACCTCTAGGGCAAGTAATGTGGAAGAAGGGCTTGGAAAATATGATACTCACAGGGCAGATCGTGGGACAGAGGAAAGCAGCGCGTAACATACTTGATGGGCTTGAGCAAGCGGATGACAGAAGAGGATTTAGGAGAAATAACAAAAAGCAAATACTTATTAAGAACTACAAGGGACGGGAAGATGTGGAGAGCCATGATCACTTCTTGATGGGACACAGCAGATAAAAGAAGAATATGCAATTCGCATCTTGGGTTGTTTTTTTTTTTTGTTGTTGTTGTTGTTGTTGTTTTTGTTGCTAAAAATACGTTCTGTTTCTTACATTTATGTGACGAGTCTCTTCAGGACGTGAGGGATCATAGCTCTCCACAACTTCCAGTTTTTGTTGCTCTAAATATTTGTTGACTCTTTACTATCACTCTGTTCTTGTTCTAACACCCATTCACACAAATTTATTAAGTATGTTGCGATTGGTGCATAAATCTATAGAAATCGATAGTTCTTCCCCTTGAATTGACTCTTCGAAAAACAGCAACGCCAAAAGACACGAGTGTAAATTGGTATAATTTATCACCAGCGTCGATGGCTATATATGACTTATCGAAATCACTCATCTTCAGGTCGATCGGTTTAAATAAACCCCAAAAAGTTAATAAGCTGTAAAAAAAAAATCAATCAATCATCACGTGAGATCGAATGTTGAAAATATACCATACTTATAAAGGAACTTAATTATTTTCAATGTTAGGCAAAGAATAAGCGTCGATATATTTTTATTTTATTTTTTTATTTTTGTAATCATTTTACCCTAACCAAGGCAATAAAGCCATTAAGACGCAAGTGGTTACTGAGTGTGAAAGAATATGAGAAAAAAGAAAAAGAAATGGAGAGAGAACGATAAAAGAACATGAATTAAGAAGACGGAAGATAATGATTGATATTGCATTTAAGTTGACTAGAAACCAAGAAGCCGAACGAGAGTTCCACAAGCGAGAAGTCCGAGAGAAGAAACTGTAAAATAATGAGACCTTGCTGCCAATCTAGTACTGCGCTTAAATTCGTAGATTCTAGGTACCAAAGAGTTCATCAGAACAACTGCCATAAAATTATTTAACACTAGAACACTAACCATCAATTAAAGTTACACCACTACTAACTATAGGTATATCATACCCAATTTTGAAAATATCAAAAAAATATTGAATATAAATTTTTATTTGAAATATTTTACATGCAGGCACTTCAAACATTGTACTTTGAGTTAACATTCATAGGAACTGAAAAACATATTATTTAGGTAAGAAAATCAGATACTGAAAATTTTAATTAAAAATAGGAAAATTTGGGCTGGGTACTATATACCCATGGTTAGTGTTCTAGGGTTAAAGAAACATCAGAAGGAAATTACATTACAGTAGGGTTGGTAGCACCTATTAGAATTCCAGCTATGGGCAAATAGTTAACCCTCAAACTGGGGTCAAAACGCTATGAAAGTATAAAAATAGGTTTTAATACTAATAAATACATTTTTGTAAAAAAAATATTACCAGCAATGTATTTGAAGGAAAAAGCAATAAAAATCTTGTCGGCATTAAATAACCCATTGACGTTGTTATGTCGTAAATGAAACCAAACCAACCAGCCATATGACATGTAAATCTTATTCAAAAAGTGAATTCCTATTTATGTGGAAAAAGCTTAAAAGGCCATTAGCTTTGCTTAAGGACTTGAGACCGCATATATGTCGTAGTATTGACATTTAATTTTAGTATTTTACAATATTTATAAAAAAATATTGTTACTTATATATAAATTATATTAAGAAAGACAGATTTAAGAGTTCATGGGATTATAATTAATTTCCTTAGGACCAGGAATTTGGTTCTAATTCATCAGATCTCCATTTTCATACAATATATATATATATATATATATATATATATATATATATATAATCAACTCATTACATTTTTCATTTTTATGCGGAAATTTAATTTTTTTCTATGCTTTGAAGTAATAAAAATATTATATATGTTACTGTGCCTTCACAATTGAATACATGGTAGATGATACTCAGCTTTTGTATATAGATGTTTGTGTGGACATATTGTCTATATTGTAGTTTTGCTGAAGTTATATTTTGGAATACAGTTTGATTTCTTTAAGAAATTGTAAGATATATGGATTAATGTCATGAAAGAGTTCTTTCATGTTGGTTATATGGCTGCTTGATTTTGCTTAGCGGCATATCAAATTCTATGGGTTATTTAATGCCATAAATCTACATATTTTGACCACAATTGTACGCTTTCAACCACACATAAAATGTATTGCTGGTCATTTAGCTATAAAATGTATTGTTGATAATTTTATTATAATAGCTAGTGGTGGCACTTTTATTATAATACGTCTTGGCGGTAATTTTACTATAAATAGGTATTGGTGGTAATATTTTTATATAAAAATGTACTGTTTGTATTTTTACAATAAAAATGTATTTTTATATTTTCATGTTTTGTCTTTGTTTGGGAGTTCACTATTTTCTCATAGCTAGGACCCTAACAGTTGATAACCTCCCCCCCCCCTGGGACACGGGAACAACAGCCATTAAGGGATGGTTCCACACTTCTCAATATCTCCAATCTCCTGATCAGAGGCCTCGCTGCCGGATGTAGTTTATCGTCATACCCAGGACTGAAGGAAGAAAGAAATACAGTAAATAAGTAATTATATTATTGAATATTTTTTTGTTTGTAGCTTAACGGTTAGGGGCTTGGAAGGGCAATTCGACGAGCCAGGTTCGAATTCTGATCAACTATGTTGCGTTCACTTTTTTACAAATATCCTTGATAGTTTTATAAATCTTCTCTCCCCACGCCCGCAAATATGGGTTTTGTAGTAAGTGCTCACCACCCTTGGATGGCAACCAGTCTAGAAGAAAAATAATCCTGATTTTTATAAAAACAGGCTGTAAAAGAATAAGCAACAAAAGATGTGATGCAACAATGACTCTTATGGGTTACGGGAGTCGTGCGTTGTGCATGTTTGTTATCATAACTACAGGAATCGCACTGATTGCAGAATTTGGCTAGAAAAATGAAAAAAAGGAACTGAAAATATGAAAAATAAATGGCTGATTTTGACTCCGCAGGCTCTAAAGGTCTAATCGCGTGCTCTCTATTCTGAGAAGCGGACGGAGAAATTAAAGGAATTTACTTTAATCTTTTATTTATTATTTATGCATTACCTATCTGATAAGATAGTTTGGAAGTACCATTCTCAAGTGCGTGATCTTCATTTGCTGGCTTAAAGAATGCACGCTCTGCGATTTGCCCAGCTAAAAGAACGTGTGTCACGTGATGCAAAATGAAGTGAACGCAGATCTATAGACAATACAGGTAGGCATGTGTATATATTCTCCAAGGCTACCAAAAATTAATCCTCGAACTTGAAAGGAACAGAACGAAAACTAATCGGCATTACATGCCTAAATTATTTAACCAAAGCTGTTTGTATATATATATATATATATATATATATATATATATATATATATATATATATATATATATATATAATCATGTGTGTGTGTGAAAAGTGTATATAAATATAAATAAATATATATATATGTATAATTATTTATATATTATATGCCCGGTACTTATTAGAAAGCGCTCAATATCAGAGATAGAGCAACATATTTGGTTGGATTGATGTGAGTTTTTGACCCTGGGTTTCACGCTTTAGCGATCGTCAGACAAACTGATTAATTTTTTTTTGGTGCCTCTTTTTTTATTTATGTAAATTGCATTTTGTTTTTTTATTGTGGAAGACACATTAAAATTCGTCGTCCGTCTGTATGTATATGTGTACTATACCGATGTTTGCGTTAGTATGCAAGCGACAAAGTTTCATAATATAATAAAAATATCATACACGCAATCTACATAAACCCAAATTTTTTAAAATTAATCAGTTTGTCTGACGATCGCTAAAGCGTGAAACCCAGGGTCACAAACTCACATCTATCCAAAAAATATATATATATATATATATATATATATATATATATATATATATATATATATATATATATATGTATAAAGGAGAGAGAGATTTCAAAGTATATATAAGTACATATTGTAGAATCTAATATGCATTCTGTCCAGAAATTATAAGAAAAGCAAACATTTATTAGCAGAATTTGTTGTAATAGTGTTTCTGTATGGTTACATTTATTTTCTAATCGGTCGAGCTAACACGGACATTCACGAGTCTATCACGATAAACGTCACGGTCCTGCATCAAGGTCGGAAGCTTATTAGGGTGGCTTGGTTTGTTTAGTTTGGTTTGGTTTGTTTTACGGCATATCGACCTCAATGGGTTACTTAATGCCGACATTTTTATTGTAGGTAATATTTTGTTTTGTCAAAAATCTATTTCTTGTAATATTTTTTCCTTCAAAAATCTATTTCTGGAAATATTTTTCCTCCAAAAATGTATTGCTGGTAATAATTTTTTTTTCAAAAAAGTATTGCTGGTAATATTTTTTTCTTCAAAAATTTATTTATAATAATTTTTTACAAAGTATTTCTGGTATTAAACCCAATTTTTACACTGTCATAGTGTTTTAACACCAGTTTCGGGGTTAACTATTTGCGCATAGCTTAGACCCTAACAGGTGCTACACCTCGGGTCAGGGTAAACCTGGAAACACCAGCAATTAAGAGGCGGTTCCACAATCCTCAAAACCTCCTGATCAGAAGCCTTGCTGCTGGACGTAGTTTATCGTCTTATGAGGGTAGCTTTCTGTGTGATAGCATAACTGGTCTATGTAGGTGATTCCTTGGCGACCAGCCCGTCTTATGCCATGGCTAGGTGTCCAGAACCGTAGGTAACTGGCAAATTCTTGTTTTGCCGTCAGCTAGGCAAAGCTTATAAATAATATATATATATTGTTGGCTGTCGAATCATGTAATTTAATAATTGTGTATTTGGACAGCAATTCCTCTTTTTATAAAAGACTCGTTAAAAAAATGACATGTGGTTACATTCCTTGTTGGCTGCCGGGTCATGTAATTTAATAATTGTGTATTTGACCAGAAATTCCTCTTTTATGCAAATCTCATTAACAGGGAAAGTACCGACAGCACCTTGTAAGTCGTTTTTAACGAAACTTGCATAAAATAGGGTTTGCTGCCTAAGTACACAATTATTAAATTGCATAACCTGCAGCCAATGTCATTCAGCCACAGCATCATGTTAATCGTTTTTAAAGAAACTTATATATATATATATATAAGATAACAATAGGAAAAAAAAATAGTTGCCGACGCGTTTCGTCCGATGTGGACTTTTTTCACATCGGACAAAACACGTCGGCAACTGTTACAATTTTTTTCTATTGTCTTTTACATTTATAAATATTGTCTTTTTCTACAGGTTAACTCTGAGAATTTTTTTCATGTGTATATATATATATATATATATATATATATATATATATATATATATATATGTGTGTGTGTGTGTGAAAACAAATATTGTTATATGTTTTTGTGTAGGAAAACAAATGATATAGATATGATATCTGGTCAAAATGTATTTTTGCGAAAGAAACATTTAAAATCGTCTATTCAGTTTTTTTAATAATCGCTGGGAACTTTTGCATCTCCCTGACGCATTAAAATTAACATAGATAAATGGAGAATGACGAGCAGTCTGAGATAGATATGAGATAAGAAACAAAAAAGAAAAAAAAATACCTCATCAATAATGGATTATTCCGTTTTTATCGCAAGGAAAGACGGAAAAGACATATCAGAGACGCTCTTTAGTTTCAGTGAGAAGATAACAAGAAAGAAAGAAAGAAAAGACAAGGAATAAAATAGATTTAACTCGAGTTTATTAATATCTCTATTTCGACCATGTAAACATTAGCCACGTAATAAATCATTGTCATCTCTGTTACGAATGTCAGCGCAATGACAAATTTATTATCGAGTTTTTTTTCTTTCGACTGAGCAATATTTTCAAGATTCTTCAGCTAAAAAGCAAAACATTGATTAATCATTTCCACGTGTGATGTCAGTTAGGAATCATGAATAAATTATTGACTGATTCCCAAAGACCATGATTTATCTCCCTGGCACAACTTAAATTAACTGGTCCGCTCGTAAAAAGAAAAGTAAAAAAAAATATTTATAGATTAGCATTCATTAGACCTTACCGAAGCCATGACAGTTGTCAAAATAGCAAAATATTGATTTTTTATCAAATTAGAAGTGGGAATATAGGATTTTAATTGTTTTTTTTAATGTCGAGCCTTATATAGAGTTCCCCAATAATGGCCAACCAGAGTAAAAACTTCATGCATTACCCAACGCTGAAGTACTTGCTAGAAATGGGGTCCTAATCATATTATAAAAACTGTCTCAGATCGAACACTGAGATATCTACTGTTTTATTTACAACTCAGGTTTGAATGTATACTTGGCGGACTCTCCCGTCGTATTCGACGCATGAGGATCAAGCAGCTCTGCTCCTAGGAACCGACAGTTCAGACACCAGCACATATGATTTGATTATAGTGGTGAATTCTTTGTGCAGAACCAACCAAACTTTTTGAAGGGCCGAATACAGAGACCTGGGGCCATAAACGACCCTCCGCAGGTTTTTGAATTCAGAGTTGTCCTTCTCCTCGACCAGTTGCCTGTCCTATTTACCCATAGCTGAAGAGTGAAAAAAAGGGTGGATATCTTTCCCAAGGGAATTAGCACGTAAGTGGATGTATAGCACGTAAGTGAATGTAATGGATTCGATTGGAATTCGAACTCAGCTCTCCGATTCCTCAATCCGAGCCGTTTGGAATTCGAACTCAGCTCTCCGATTCCTCAATCCGAGCCGTTACCCACTACTCCACCGTGCCTCTTTGAATATGTACTTATGTTATTAATATCAATGAGCTATTACGATTTTTAAAACGAATAACATCACTATTACGCAGTTATCAATGACTAAAATGATAAAAATTCTATATTATATCATTCTCATGAATGTTAATCTACAAAATTATTCCCCACCCCAAATTCCTTCTCTATTTTTGCAAATAAATTAGGTAATTTAAGTAGTACCCAGGTCTTTCATCCATCTATCATACACAAATTACAAAGGTGCTTCTATGACTAAAAAAGATCATCACAATAATAGAAGTACCGCCAAACTTCAACATGTATTAGAAAGAAAGAAAGAAAGAAAGAAAACTGGAAAAAGAAGCAAGCAAGAAAGAAAGAAAAAAAGAAAGAAAGAAAACTGGAAAAAGAAGAAAGAAAGAAAGAAAAAAAGAAAACTGGAAAAAGAAGAAAGAAAGAAAGAAAGAAAACTGGAAAAAGAAGAAAGAAAGAAAGAAAACTGGAAAAAGAAGAAAGAAAGAAAGAAAACTGGAAAAAGAAGAAAGGAAGAAAGAAAGAAAGAAAGAAAACTGGAAAAAGAAGCAAGAAAGAAAGAAAACTGGAAAAAGAAGAAAGAAAGAAAGAAAACTGGAAAAAGAAGAAAGAAAGAAAGAAAGAAAACTGGAAAAAGAAGAAAGAAAGGAAGAAAGAAAGAAAGAAAACTGGAAAAAGAAGAAAGAAAAAAAAAAAAAAACTGGAAAAGAAGAAAGAAAGAAAGGAAGAAAACTGGAAAAAGAAGCAAGAAAGAAAGAAAGAAAGAAAGAAAGAAAACTGGAAAAAGAAGAAAGAAAGAAAGGAAGAAAACTGGAAAAAAAGAAAGAAAGAAAGAAAACTGGAAAAAGAAGCAAACAAGAAAGAAAGAAAGAAAGAAAGAAAGAAAACTGGAAAAAGAAGCAAACAAGAAAGAAAGAAAGAAAACTGGAAAAAGAAGAAAGAAAGAAAAAAGAAAGAAAGAAATAAAAAAGAAAGAAAGAAAGAAAAAAGAAAGAAAACTAGAAAAAGAAGAAAGAAAGAAAAAAGAAAGAAAGAAAGAAAACTGGAAAAAGAAACAAGCAAGCAAGCAAAAAATAAAGAAAGAAAGAAAGAAAGAACACCGGCCACAATATTTCAGAACAGCAAATTGCATTCCATGGAAAATACAGCCAATGTTTAAGGAATCTCATTTACAATTTCAACCATTTTTTATTTTTAGCAACTAAACAAGAATTAAATATTTGGATAAAAAATCTCAGATAGAATTGGTATATGGATACTGCCTGCGTAAAAGCAGATATATTGAAGATAAACAAAAAAACTAGGGAAGAGCAATGATAAGAAAAACTAGGGAAGAAGAGCAAAAATGAAAAAAAATAAGGAAATGCAACGATTATAAAATAATAGGATAGAGGAGAAACGATGAGAATAAATAGTAAGGAAGAGCAAGGATAAGAAAGATGGGTAAGGAGAGCAAGGATGTTCAAAAACTAGAAAGAATAGCAAGGATAAGAAAAGAGAGAAAAGATAAGAAAAATAGGGACAAAACTGAAAGGATAAAAACTAGGGAAGAGCAAGGATAAGAAAAACTAGAAAAACTAAAAAAAAGAAGAGCAAAAATGAAAAAAATCGGGAAGAAGAGCAAGGATAAGAAGAAAAAAGGAAGAGCAAGGATACGAAAAAATAGGGAAGAAGAGCAAGGATAAGAAGAAAAAAGGAAGAGCAAGGCTACGAAAAAATAGGGAAGAAGAGCCAGAATAAGAAATGATAGGAATGACATCTTTCCTATTTTTTTATCCTTGCTCTTTTTTCCTATTTTTATCCTTGCTCTTCTCCCTGATTTTTTCTTATCCTTGCTCTCCTTGACTACTTTTCTTATCCTTGCTTTTCTTCCCTATTTTTTCTTATCCTTGCCCTTCCTCGAACTTTGTTTTATTAGATTATGTAAATATATCCTTTTGAAATGTCCTTTCTTAAAGCCTGAATGTTAATTCACACATTCTCATCTTGATCCATGGTCACATACCTGTGACAAGACATTTCCTAAATAATTTTTGCGATGAGGCAGGTTTTGATTCTGGGATTGATATAGAAATAACATCATTTGTTTTGAATTTCAGATTAAGTTTATATTTTTGCTGAATTTTAAGTCTTCAAACGATAATTTGTGTGTCTTTCATGATGAAAAATTACGTATTTTTGTTAATGGAAACCACTTTTCTTACATTTAGTACTTAGAATAGGCTTTTGATTATACTGCTATGCATGTATATTTTTTTATTGATTGATTCGTTTTTTACGTCTTATCAACCCTTCGCAGGTTATTTAAAGTCATAAAATATTTTTACATTGTAAGATTTTTTTTAGGTAATATCTGGGTAAATAAGAGGTGTATTCATACCTTTCACAAAACGTCGTGCACTTCCACCTGGTGTAATGGTTAACTTAACTCGCTTTTCTCGCTAGATCAATTGCAACTGAGTAGTGAGTTCGATCCTCACTGGATCGATACCCCATACTTTCGGCCTTGTGTCACATATAAGCTACGGGTAATTCAAAGTAGTGTAATAGTTAGCAAGCTTGTCTCGCTAGATCAGTTACGACTGAAATTGTGAGTTCGATCCTCACCGGGTGTCACATACTACCGGCGGTGTGCCACATCTAAGCTACGCTTAGAAAATCACCATTGTACACTACGACGTGGTGTCGTGCTTGATCAATTACAACTAGGTAGTGAGTTCGATCCTCTTTAGGTGCACCATATTTTTTGCCTTGTGACGCAATATAAGCCACGCTTAGTAAATCATTACCCCTTTCCTTTTTGTGCGTAAGTGAACCCAACTGGAATTAAAACTGGGCTCTCCAATTAACTATTCCGAGCCATTATACATTACACCACCCGCACACCCAAGCTTACAGTGCCTATTATTCCCAGGCAGACACCCATCTAGCTACTGAGCAGGTTTGACGTTACTTATCTTCGGTGATCGTACGGAAACTAATATTTTAACTAAGTCATGATACATCCAAACTCAGGTATATAGTTTATGTCAGATAAAAATCAAAACAATTTTCCCCAAATTCTTCTTTTTGCGTACGGACCACTTAATTTAAGTAGATTCATTTCCCCTTTTCCTCCCTGGCATGCAGAATGGCATAATGGTTACGCCCCACTGAACATGTTTCAATGAACCGTGTTCATATTTCGACAGAAGCTACTTGTGTTCACGAAACGCGGAACTTCCATTAATGATGATGGATGGCTGTTCTCTGAAAGGGCTTCCTTGCCTCGAACGCCCAGTAAGACTCAAACTCACCCCGGCCTCATATATACGATCTCTGGCTAAAGTTACTGGAAACATGGTCGGTTACTTACACCCCTCTATAAATATCTGATTCTATCTGGCAAGAGCTAGATCAGACCAAAAATGGAGTATTGCTACTATACCTGGACTGTCCTCGTTTGACTGTCTTAATAGAGTACAAAACCGTCTTCACAGCCTTGTAAGCAATAAATTATTTCCCACCCTACAACCTCTTTCCCACAGAAGAAAAGTTCATAAGCCTCTAGCTACTCCATCGCCATTTCCATGGCAAACATTCTACATTCCTTAGTTCTACCAGTTTAGACCTTTTCAGCTATCCGCCATGCCACGTATATAAGAATGAATCATCGTCATTCCCTCCGTATTCCATTAGTAAGGAGGAAGTTAAACTCGGACAGCATTTGTGAAACAGGCAGGATGCTTTTTCAGTCATTACAACCTTGACCTGTTCAAGTATAGGGTTAATCGTTACCTTTCCTACCTGGCCTTATAAACGGCACTTTTTTTGCCTTCACTTACACTCATATCATACACTTACACTCAACATTGAGTAGCTCTTAGGCCTTGTATTGGGTAGACATTATTTTACAAAAAAAGGCACTAATGTGCGCTCTTCGCTCTCTGCCTCATCGCAAAAAATATTATTGAAATATCTTGTCACAGGTATGTGACCATGGATTAAGATGAGAATGTGTGAATTAACATTCAGGCTTTAAGAACGGATATTTCTAAAGGATATGTTTACATAATCTAATAAAACAAAGTTCGGGGAAGGGCAAGGATAAGAAAAAATAGGGGAGAAAAGCAAGGATAAGAAAAATCAGGGAGAAGAGCAAGGATAAAAATAGGAAAAGAGAGCAAGGATAAAAATAGGAAAAGAGAGCAAGGATAAAAAAATAAGAAAGATGTCATTCCTATCATTTCTTATTCTTGCTCTTCCTCTTCTTCCCTATTTTTTCGTATCCTTGATTTCCTTCACTATTTTTTCTTATTTTTGCACTTCTTCCAATTTTTTCTTCTTCTTGCTCTTCCTTTTTTCTTCTTATCCTTCCTCTTCTCTTTTTCTTCTTATCCTTGCTCTTCCTTTTTCCTTCTTATCCTTCCTCTTCCTTTTTTCTTCTTATCCTTCCTCTTCCTTTTTTCTTCTTATCCTTCCTCTTCCTTTTTTCTTCTTATCCTTGCTCTTCTCTTTTTCTTCTTATCCTTGCTCTTCCTTTTTTTCTTCTTATCCTTGCTCTTCCCTTTTTCTTCTTATCCTTGCTCTTCCTTTTTTTCTTCTTATCCTTGCTCTTCCTTTTTTCTTCTTATCCTTTTTCATTTTTTTTCTTCTTATCCTTGCTCTTCATTTTTTCTTCTTATCCTTGCTTTCCCTTTTCTTCTTATCCTTGCTCTTCCTTTTTCTTCTTATCCTTGCTCTTCCTTTTTCTTCTTATCCTTGCTCTTCCTTTTCTTCTTATCCTTGCTCTTCCCTTTTTCTTCTTATCCTTGCTCTTCCCTTTTTCTTCTTATCCTTGCTCTTCCTTTTTTCTTCTTATCCTTGCTCTTCTTCCCTATTTTTTCATTTTTGCTCTTCTTCCCTAGTTTTTCTTATTCTTGCTCTTCCCTATTTTTTATCCTTTCACTTTTGTCCCTATTTTTCCTATCATTTCTCTCTTTTCTTATCCTTGCTCTTCTTTCTTGTTTTTGAACATCCTTGCTCTCCTTACCCATTTTCTTATCCTTGCTCTTCCTTACTATTTATTCTCATCATTTCTCCAGAAAATAAGAAAGAAGAGCAAAGATAAGAAAAGTAGGCAAGGAGAGCAAGGATAAGAAAAATATTGAAGAAGTGCTAGGATAAGAAAAGCAGGCAAGGAGAGCAAGGATGAGAAAAATATTGAAGAAGTGCTAGGATAAGAAAAGTAGGCAAGGAGAGCAAGGATAAGAAAAATATTGAAGAAGTGCTAGGATAAGAAAAGTATTAAAGGAGAGCAAGGATAAGAAATATATTGAAGAAGTGCAAGGATAAGAAAAAATAGGAAATGAGAGCAAGGATAAGAAAAATATTGAAGAAATGCAAGGATAAGAAAAGTACTAAAGGAGAGCAAGGATAAGAAAAATATTGATGAAGTGCTAGGATAAGAAAAGTAGGAAAGGAGAGCAAGGATAAGAAAAGTAGGAAAGAAGGGCAATTGTAAGAACAAATATTACCCAATGTAAAATATGAAATCGAAAAATATAACAGAAAAGAACAAAGGAAACATGCCTAACCGTCTATCCCTACACGCTCTTCAGTCGACTGAAACTATGAATATTTGCATAAGCTCCTTAATACATCTGAGTCTACAATTGCAGAACACTCAATAAATAATCCGATTTGTGCCTCGTACCAGGGATTTTTTTACAGTAGTCATCAAAGCACTTCTGGATTAGAATTTGACTGGTTGACTGATTCGATTTCTACGACTTATCGACTCTTTGCGTGTTATTTAAAGCCACAAAATATTCTTAAATTGTAAGATTTTTTTTAGATAATAATGATGATACAATTCTTACTAATTCATCCATAGCTGGGGGAGAAGAAGATGGGTCCATACCTTTTTCATCTGAGCCTAAGTGAATATAACGAACCCAACTGGAATTGGAACTCGGCTCTCCGATTAACAATTCTGAACCTTTATCCATTACACCTCCCGCGCACACAAGCTTGAAGCACCTGTTATTCACACGCAATTGCCCATTTTGGTACTGACCAGGCCCGACGTTGCCTAACTTCGGTGACTGTACGGAAACTGGTGTTTCAGCACAATGTGGCCGTGTATGTGTATATATATATATACCTATATATATATATATATATATATTATATATATATATATATATATATATAGTTACGAGGAGTGGTTAGTTGATTTGAACCTTTTAACAATCTACATTTAACATCATCACTTGATAAGACAACAAAGGTGTTGAAAGGTGGCTATTTGTAGTGATTTTATAACATATTTACGTTATAATTTTTAAATAAATAATTATATTCGCTCTACGTTGTATTGAGCACTCTTTTAAGAATAGTAATTGTTGGTGATTGGAATTTATTCCGTATACACCAATCATACACTTATATATATATATATATATATATATATATATATATATATATAAAGGGGGAAATTGTGTGTGTCTTTCCTACAATAATACACATGACCGACAATGACTACCCACTTCGTACCCGACATTGCACGGAGTCATCAGGTGGCTAGTATTAATGTTTTGGCTGACCTAAGATATTACAAGAATAATAATTGCAGAACACGCGCGATACACAGAGAAACTAAAATCACCTTTGGGAGAAATACCCATACGACGAAGGACTGAATTGCCGAGAAAATACTATTTGTGGAAAAATAAAAATAAAATTCTCTAAAGCACCAGAATAAATCTATACATGTGTCAAATAAATCTCCGAGTGTATCAATAAATCGTTGAATGCCTCAACAAAACTATGAGTGCATTTCTCAGATAAACATTATTATTAAAGATGTAAACATTTATAAATAAAATTAATATATGCAGTGTTTATAAAACTATAGCTTGCAGAGTCAGATTTGGCTTTAAAACTGAGAAAAACAAAATGCTTTTCAGAAAGAAAACATATCCTAATAAGATCAAAGAGAACATCAACGGATTTCCGGTAGAAATCGAAAACAAATTGCAGGTTTTGTTAAATTATATATATATATAAATAATATAGAAAATATGAATATCTGGTGACTATAATTAAGGTAGCAGCGGAGATAACCGTGAAAACAAAATGGAAAAAGCAATAAAAAAAAAAAGGAAAATGAATCGAACTACCTTAGATCTCACGACCACGTGACCAATTCAAAAATGTAAATTATTTTCATAGTTGCTAACAAAGCCAATATTATTAAAGGTGTAACATTTTATAAATAAAGCTAATACATGCAGTGTTTATAGAATGAAAGTTTGATTTTAAAACTGAAAATAAAACAATGCTTCTTAGAAAGAATTCATCTCCTAATAATATCTGAGATAACAACTCCGGATTTCCGGTAGAAATCAAAAACAATTCCAGGCATTGTCAAATTATGAAAACGATAACTGAAAATATGAATAGCAAATTCTTGAGTATAATTAAAGGAGTGGCGGGGGGAGCAAACGGAAGTAACCAGAGCAAAGAGGAAATAACAGAGGGAAAGAGAGGGAAATAGAGAGATCTGAATTATAAAAGAGAGGTGGCATCTTCTTTGTCCGTCACGATTTGTCCGTGTGCGACGGTAATATGCCTATGTGATGACGTATGTGCGAACACTTGTGTTGTGCGCGAGTCACTGACATGTGCTGGTGTCATTAACTATGAGCAGGGGTGCACGCATATGCGCATAACATGACTGGGTTTCAAATAAGACATCGGAATAATACACAATCCCACTCACCCACTTAGTCTGAACAACTCCTATCCTGGGCTGAGCAATAACATCATAAAGTTGGAGACCTGAAAGGAAAAAAAAATATTAACTTAAAATTGTCTTTTCGATCACCTGGGTGTATCGCCGTGAAGTAGCTTATCGATTCATGCCTATCTATAGGTAGATTCCCATTCGTGCCTATTGACACATGTCTATTCATGCCTATCTATAGGTAGATTTCCATTCGTGCCTATTGACACATGTCTATTCATGCCTATCTATAGGTAGATTTCCATTCGTGCCTATTGACAGATGTCTATTCATGCCTATCTATAGGTAGATTTCCATTCGTGCCTATTGACAGATGTCTATTCATGCCTATCTATAGGTAGATTTCCATTCGTGCCTATTGACAGATGTCTATTCATGCCTATATATAGTAGATTCCCATTCGTGCCTATTGACAGATGTCTATTCATGCCTATCTATAGGTAGATTCCCATTCGTGCCTATTGACAGATGTCTATTCATGCCTATTTATACGTAGATTTCCATTCGTGCCTATTGACACATGTCTATTCATGCCTATCTATAGGTAGATTCCCATTCGTGCCTATTGACACATGTCTATTCATGCCTATCTATAGGTAGATTCCCATTCGTGCCTATTGACACATGTCTATTCATGCCTATCTATAGGTAGATTCCCATTCGTGCCTATTGACACATGTCTATTCATGCCTATCTATAGGTAGATTCCCATTCGTGCCTATTGACACATGTCTATTCATGCCTATCTATAGGTAGATTTCCATTCGTGCCTATTGACAGATGTCTATTCATGCCTATCTATAGGTAGATTCCCATTCGTGCCTATTGACAGATGTCTATTCATGCCTATCTATAGGTAGATTCCCCATTCGTGCCTATTGACAGATGTCTATTCATGCCTATTTATACGTAGATTTCCATTCGTGCCTATTGACACATGTCTATTCATGCCTATCTATAGGTAGATTCCCATTCGTGCCTATTGACACATGTCTATTCATGCCTATCTATAGGTAGATTCCCATTCGTGCCTATTGACACATGTCTATTCATGCCTATCTATAGGTAGATTCCCATTCGTGCCTATTGACACATGTCTATTCATGCCTATCTATAGGTAGATTCCCATTCGTGCCTATTGACACATGTCTATTCATGCCTATCTATAGGTAGATTCCCATTCGTGCCTATTGACACATGTCTATTCATGCCTATCTATAGGTAGATTCCCATTCGTGCCTATTGACACATGTCTATTCATGCCTATCTATAGGTAGATTCCCATTCGTGCCTATTGACACATGTCTATTCATGCCTATCTATAGGTAGATTCCCATTCGTGCCTATTGACACATGTCTATTCATGCCTATCTATAGGTAGATTCCCATTCGTGCCAATTGACACATGTCTATTCATGCCTATCTATAGGTAGATTCCCATTCGTGCCTATTGACACATGTCTATTCATGCCTATCTATAGGTAGATTTCCATTCGTGCCTATTGACACGTCTATTCATGCCTATCTATAGGTAGATTCCCATTCGTGCCTATTGACAGATGTCTATTCATGCCTATCTATAGGTAGATTTCCATTCGTGCCTATTGACAGATGTCTATTCATGCCTATCTATAGGTAGATTTCCATTCGTGCCTATTGACAGATGTCTATTCATGCCTATCTATAGGTAGATTCCCATTCGTGCCTATTGACACATGTCTATTCATGCCTATCTATAGGTAGATTCCCATTCGTGCCTATTGACACATGTCTATTCATGCCTATCTATAGGTAGATTCCCATTCGTGCCTATTGACACATGTCTATTCATGCCTATCTATAGGTAGATTCCCATTCGTGCCTATTGACACATGTCTATTCATGCCTATCTATATTAGATTCCCCATCAATGCCTATTGACACATGTCTATTCATGCCTATCTATAGGTAGATTCCCATTCGTGCCTATTGACACATGTCTATTCATGCCTATCTATAGGTAGATTCCCATTCGTGCCTATTGACACATGTCTATTCATGCCTATCTATAGGTAGATTCCCATTCGTGCCTATTGACACATGTCTATTCATGCCTATCTATAGGTAGATTCCCATTCGTGCCTATTGACAGATGTCTATTCATGCCTATCTATAGTCTAGATTCCCATTCGTGCCTATTTACACATGTCTATTCATGCCTATCTATAGGTAGATTTCCATTCGTGCCTATTGACAGATGTCTATTCATGCCTATCTATAGGTAGATTCCCCATACGTGCCTATTGACAGATGTCTATTCATGCCTATCTATAGGTAGATTCCCATTCGTGCCTATTGACAGATGTCTATTCATGCCTATCTATAGGTAGATTCCCATTCGTGCCTATTGACAGATGTCTATTCATGCCTATCTATATTGAGATTTCCATTCGTGCCTATTGACAGATGTCTATTCATGCCTATCTATAGGTAGATTTCCATTCGTGCCTATTGACACATGTCTATTCATGCCTATCTATAGGTAGATTTCCATTCGTGCCTATTGACACATGTCTATTCATGCCTATCTATAGGTAGATTTCCATTCGTGCCTATTGACACATGTCTATTCATGCCTATCTATAGTTAGATTCCCATTCGTGCCTATTGACACATGTCTATTCATGCCTATCTATAGGTAGATTTCCATTCGTGCCTATTGACAGATGTCTATTCATGCCTATCTATAGTTAGATTCCCATTCGTGCCTATTGACACATGTCTATTCATGCCTATCTATAGTTAGATTCCCATTCGTGCCTATTGACACATGTCTATTCATGCCTATCTATAGGTAGATTCCCATTCGTGCCTATTGACACATGTCTATTCATGCCTATCTATAGTTAGATTCCCATTCGTGCCTATTGACAGATGTCTATTCATGCCTATCTATAGGTAGATTCCCATTCGTGCCTATTGACAGATGTCTATTCATGCCTATCTATAGGTAGATTCCCATTCGTGCCTATTGACAGATGTCTATTCATGCCTATCCATAGGTAGATTCCCATTCGTGCCTATTGACAGATGTCTATTCATGCCTATCCATAGGTAGATTCCCATTCGTGCCAATTGACAGATGTCTATTCATGCCTATCTATAGGTAGATTCCCATTCGTGCCAATTGACACATGTCTATTCATGCCTATCTATAGGTAGATTCCCATTCGTGCCTATTGACACGTCTATTCATGCCTATCTATAGGTAGATTCCCATTCGTGCCTATTGACACATGTCTATTCATGCCTATCTATAACAGATTCCCATTCGTTCCTATTGACACATGTCTATTCATGCCTATCTATACGTAGATTCCCATTCGTGCCTATTGACACATGTCTATTCATGCCTATCTATAGGTAGATGCCCATTCGTGCCTATCTATTGACACATGTCTATTAATGCCCATCTATTGACATCAATATCCACGCCTATTTATAGCTGTCTGTTCACGCCTATGTATTTATAACTTTATTCCTGTTTATCTAGTTATAGCTCTCTATTCATGCCTTTTTATTTATATCACTCTATTTAAGACTAAATAATGATATATGTCTATCCATGCTTATCTATCAGTATATTCATACTTATCTATTGATATCTGACTATCAATGCCTATGTATTGATATCTGTTTATCAATGCCTATCTATTCATATCTCTCTCTTTAATCAGTATCTTTCTTTCAATAACAATTTAAATTTCCTCATGTCTATTGATTCTTGTCTTTTTGTTTTGGAATTGGAACTCTGCTCTCCGAATAACAATATCGAGCCATTATCCATTACTCGACATGCACATCCATTAGCACTTGGTATTCCCAAGGGGTCACCCATCTAGGTAATGACCAGGCTCAACGTTGGTTAACTTCGGTGATCTTATATTCATATCTGTTTACTGCTACCTAGAACCAGTGATGGTCACAATGACAATGTCCTGTTTATTACTCATAAGAATAAAAGGAGTTTAGGTTATTTTTTTAAATACTGATTTTTGTTTTGTTTTTTAAATCAATATATTCTCTCTCACTCGCTTTCCACAATTCTTTTCTGCTTTGATTTTTTTTGTTTTTCTTTGTTTAATAAGAAAGTGTTAGTGTTTTCAGTTCAGAAACATTCAAAATAGTGCACAAGTACCACATTCTAATCCTGAGTGAAATGCTAAAGGAATACAAAAGTAAATGAGGATAATTCACTCTTGTGTACGTGACATGGGGTGGGAGGCACACGGTAACAAAATTCGTAAGCACCGAATGTTTATATTTGTATGAGAGTTTATGTTATGGGTTTGAAATATTCCGAATAATAAGTGTAATAAAGATAAAAGGCGATAAATTATGTGGTTACTCTTGAACTTCCATTCTGTCAAAGAGAATTATCGTACCAAATATGGATTAAAGAATGCTTCTGTGCACAGGAATTATTTCTAATAAAATTATTAACTCATTCACTTTTCCATTGTTATCTTTTGCTGCCTGGCTGTACTGGCCTATTTTGGAAAAATATTAAATTAAATTTTACTGGGAATAAATAACTATAAGTATGCTGACGGTGATTTCTCATGGGCGACACCATTTGGTACAGACTAAGCTAAATACACCCTATAATAAATACACAATATAATAAATACACCCTATAATAAATACACAATATAATAAACATACAATATAATAAAACTCTCTTATTATACGTCTGTACGTATATGAAAAATCTATTCCGAATCGTAAAATAATAAATGCAATAAAACTACAATATTATTTAATTAGAAAATCTTTTAATTGATTTTGTGAATTTAATATATTATGAATATTATTGTTTTAATTTTTTTTTGTTTTTGTTTAATAATGTATAAACTTTGAAATCTTTTAACAGTCTGTATTAATCTGCAGCGGTCAAGTGATATTGTTATTTACTGTATTTACTAATCATAAATGAAGTCTTTCTACAATTCAGCGACCTCTAGTATTTTAAAAAGAATTGTGAATTATTTGTATATGCGTATAAACATTCCGATTCTTATAAATACGGACTTCCATATAAGATATTATCAAAAAATAAGAACAGTAACTACAGGTTGGTCCGAAAGTCTTGTCATCCCTTCTGCTTTTATGTGCCGTGTCTCTTCAGGACGTAGGCGATTATGGCTCTCCACTTCCTCCTTTCCGTTATAGCTTTCAATAAGTTTTGTCTTTTTGCTACTTCACTCAGACCCTGTTCTGTCATCCACTTGCTCAAGCCCATTAGGTTTGTCACACGTTGCTTTCCCTTGTTACACTTTCTCTCTATTCGCCGTGAGAGTATCAGATTTTCCAAGCCTTCTTTTCTCATTGCGTGTCCCAGAAATGTCAGCTGCTTCTTCCTGATATTAAGTATAAGTTTCCTCTTTGCATCCTCTCCAAAACCTCAGCGTTCCTCACACGCTCGGTCCATGATATCCTTATCATCCTTCTGTAGAACGATGCCTCCGTTGCCTCGAATCTCTTCTTCATCTTTCAGGAGACCGTCCAACATTCGCTGCCGTAAACGAAGAGAGATATCACGTAGCAGTTCAGTACTCTTTTCTTCGTTGGCAACAAAATCCTCCTGTCGTAATATTCTGCCTAGCTTTTCGAATGCGTCTTTGGTCATCATAATACGTCTTCGGATCTCAGCGTCGCACTTACTGTCCTCTGTCAGAACAGATATTTAAATTTCCTCACCTGCTTGATTTTAGTGTACCAGGCCTGTAAATCGCATTTGGGGCTTATCTTTTTTTTTTTTACTGATGACCATGCAATTCTGTCTTCTTGTAGATTATGCTTAGTCCCTTCTGCTCGCTTTCCTTTGCTACCTTCTGTAGGAAGTTTTGTAATATCCGTTTGGTGTCTGCTATCAGCACTGTGTCATCTGGATATCTTGTTAAGATTGTGGTCGCCAGTGATGAATCCTGATAGGTTCAACGCTGTGTGGGGTGGGTATTATCAAGGAGAGAGTTTCACGTGAACGATACCAGAATACCCATCAGTCGAATGACGTCGTTCGGAGAGCCTTTTTGCAACAATCAACAAGCTACAGCTTCGTAAAATATCACACAGGACATGGCGCCACATTATTTCTTGCCACTTTCTCGATGTATGAAAGCCTTCAATGAAGATGAATAAACTGAATCCAGTACATGTACTTTGTATTACTTGTTCTATTGTTCTCATTACTTTTTGGTGTGTGTGGGGGGGGTCGACAAGACTTTCCGAGAACCCTGTATAGTACATTTAAAATTCATTGGTAATTTTCTAAAATTTCCTCAATAGACATCTTCTTAAGATTATAAAACCAAAGTACCTATAATTCAATAAACTATTAGAATGCTTAAAAAATAATAAATTTTAAAGATTACTTAATAATTAAAATAATTATATACAAATGACGTTGTATTCGTTATGTAATTTTATGTCAATTATCTCCTCTTTAGATACATTTTCCAGCCATCAGTATGTCGATAAATGCTCAACGCCTCATAAAATCAACCAACCTCCATTTTAAAACAAGCTTTTCTGCGAAAGCTAAAAGTAATTAATAATTGTATTTCAGTAAATTAAAAGTTAGTAATAGTGGATTCAATTCAGAATAATTCAACTTTAAATTAACTAATTATTCTCAAAATTTCATAAATGCATATTTTATTTTTGAAATATTTTTAATAAAGAGAATTATGTTGTCTTGACAGATATAGCAATATGGAAGATTTTCTTAATTTTACTGATAATCAGGAAAATAATTACAATTAATGTACATTTTGCTTATTGGGAATATTAAATTTAATTATTTATTTTTTGGAATTAATTAAATTTAATAATATAACAAAAGATTCAAGAGAGGTTATTTTTCATTTTTAACATGCAACTTAAACTTTAGGTATCGCTGTTTTGGAAGGATAATATATATATATATATATATATTAGGGTGGCCTGATGATTGCGTCTATTATGAAACAGTCTGTCGCCTCTGAGTGTTGAATTCAATGTTCAAAAATGTACATACATATATAATATACGTTGAGGTCAACACCCAGCTGTGTTGGCCTCAATGTGCATTTCTATATTTACATGTGCTATATCCTTGATATTGAGTAAATTTAGGCCATAAATCTTACATAAATTAAAACTATATGTTTATCGTATATATATATATATATATATATATATATATATATATATCATAAGCAATTTTGTTTTTTAAAAAAATATGAGTCCACCTTAGGAATGTCTGTGTGTGTGTATATATATATATATATATATATATATATATATATATATATATATATATATATATATATAAATATATACAAAAGGAAAGCAAATGCCTCAAGGAAAAAAAGTCCCTCAGAGGACGAGACGCGCCGGATAAGATAAGTCTTTATTCATTTTGTCCTTTTACAGATATGCTTTATCTGAAATTTGTACATAACACACACACACACACACACACACATATATATATATATATATATATATATATATATATATATATATGTGTGTATTGTAAAATTGTTTTCTTATCTCAGTTTGTCAAAAAATATAATTACTTTCCTTATGGAAAAGGAAAGTGATTATATTTTTAAAAAACCAAGATAAGAAAACGATTTTGAGTTTGTGTTGTAGCATACCTACGGACGATAATGTGTATGTCCCTAGTCACATAAATACAGTAGTAAATACTGTATGTTGGTCTGCAGTTAGAGATTCGTCTTCAGCTGTGCTGTTCTAACACTCTGCCTCCAGGCAAAGATGATACCCCGACGAGGCTATGTCGAGGACAGAATCTCATCTCGGGGAACAGCTACCCGACCAATTTTTATACGGGGTCTACGCGGAATTTTTGGCCGAGCCTACGGGCTCAGATACACCTCATTAAATTCGGCCTTGTGCCACATCTGATCACCTGAGGCGGTTGGTAGATATCCCGCAGTTAGTGATTCGTCTCCAGCTGTGCTAGTCAAACTCTCTGCCTCCAGGCATAGAGGATCCCCAGACGAGTCTATGTCTCGTCTCGGGAAACAGCTACCCGACCCCGTTTTATACGGGGTATACGGGGAAATTTTCGCCGAGCCTATGTGCTCGGATACCCCACATTAAATTCGGCCATGTGCCACAACTGACTGCGTCGGATGGTTGGTAGATATCCTGCAGTTGGAGATTCATTGTGAAATTCATTTGACTCATTTCTAACAGTTGACTAATTCTACGCGCCGCTGGAGAATCTTATATGTGTTGTTCTTGTCCGAAGTATTATCGTTCATTACCAACCTTCATTTGATTATTCTATTCACTAACTTTCCTTAGGTTACGACAGTTTGAAATTCTCCATATACAACTGACAATGATTTGTCACTTTCGTCCATAAGACTTAGTTTTATGCTGTCAGGAAATATTTTACAGATAATAATAATATTTCTTTCCTTCATACCAATAATGACTTAATCTCGAAAAAATGTTATGAATACCACTTCCTTTCCCAGATTTGGCCACACCTGTAAGTTTCATTAAGATGTATATCTACGTCAACAGCAGTGTAAGTATTAATTAATATTTAGGTAACAACCGTAAATCCTATTAGCAAAGCTAGTATACATACACCCTGTATAAAAATTGAAACAAAACCTAAAGTAAATATTCGTGCACAGGCAAACAATTCCA